CTCGGGGCCCTCTGGGAACGTTCCGGGGGCCCTGGTCGTCCTGGGCCGTCTTCCCAGACCCCATCTCGTTGTCAAACGCATCGCTCGGACGTGTGCATTTTTCCCTCGGCGAGGACCATCGAGGAGCATCCTTGATCATTTCGCGAAAAAACCACGCACGAAACCGAAACAAACACAGGACATGGACGTCCGAGCGATGGCTAGTTTTACTATTTTCGGCCTCCGGGGGGCCTTACCGCTCCCTGGGACCGTCGAATAACGACTCAGGATGAAACACTGGTCCCGGGAGAGGGGTCCAGACCCCTGGCGGTCGACGTTGCGAAGAAATCACAACGCCGGGGGTCTGGGTTGTGCTCCTCCAGAGGCCCTCTTGATCCCTCTTGTTGTCCGCTCAGGGTCATCGAGGGGTCCTGCTGGGGCCACATCGGGGAGTTCCTGGGCCACTGGGGCCGTCCCGAGTCCGTCTTGGGCTGTTCGGATGCCCAGCTGGGCCGCCGGGGGCTTTGGGAACAGGGCCCTATCTTTCGGGCTGTCTTCATTGCTGCTTGCGGGTATCTCGGAGTCCGTCTTGGCCATCTTGGAAGACGTCTTGCGTGTCCGTGAATGCCTGTTGGATCGCCTCGGGGACGCTGGGACGCCCAGGGGGCCTTGGGAGGGGCAGTCATGTCATGCAGCTGTATGTGAAGATGAATGGGGGCCCTTCCGAGAAATACCAAGACCTCCCGAACCGCTACAGGCAGAGCTCGTTGCCGGGAAGGCGTCGGGCTGGCGATATCTACACCCGAAGCAGTAGTCATAGTGAAGACGATAGTGTAGAACAGGATCTGGTGGTGACTAGCCACTGCAGACGGTCATTCAGCATGAGCCTGTTTTTTTTGGCACCTCATTGCGGGTGGGGCGGCTGGAGACGCGATGTGCGGCATTGGCTGCGCTACGCCATCGATGAACGAAGGGAAGATATAGGCGGAATAAGGGGGATGATAATGAAGAGCAAGGAGAAGGCGGATGAGCAGAGCGGACGAGAACATGTATAGTGGCAAGCTATGTGCGCTCGTGCCATATCTGACATCCTACCCTTCCCTCCCATCCAGTTCAAATTCGCTGTTTTTTGTCTCTATCCGCGGACGCGTGTCATAGCCGACCTGGAGGCCCATTACTCCAGCAAAGAAAACTGACAGCAGCAAAGGGGACCTGTGCGACTTGAGGGCAGCTGGGAACTGGATGACTTGTGCGATCAGTGGGACTTGGGAGACATGTGACACTTTGTGGGACCCGTGGGACCTGCAGAACCTATCGGACCTGTCGACCTGTGAAACATGCGACACAACTGTGGGACCTGTGAGACCCATCAGACCTGTGGCACCCGTGGGAAGTGTGTGGCGACCTGCGACCCCTCTGGGACCCGTGGGACCAGTGGGAGGTGTGGGGCCTTCGGGACCTGCGAGACCCGGGGGATCCAGAGACGTGGCCCCACGCTGGGGCGAGAGCGCCAATTCTGAACGACGGGAGCACACGGCCGATCCGAAACAGGACGCCCACGCGGCATCGAGAGCACCATACAGTCGGGGCGCTGAAGAAGGAACCCTTTTCGTTTGGGAGGGGCTCGGTGTTCCTTAATTGTTCCACACCTTGCCCAAGGTTTTCCTTAAGCTTTTGATGGGAAGTCGAAGGTTCACTTATGAAAAAAGGGGCCTCGTTCCTTCTTTAGGGTTCCTTAGGTCAACGCCTCGACTGTATTTGAAATACCGGAAACAATGGGAGTGCACAAGCACATATACACACGTATATGTGGATATATTCATGCAGACACAGACATCCAATTGTATGCATGTGGGAAGCAGTCAGTTCGCGCAAGTCCCGCGTGCCGAGACTAACATACGCGGAAGGGGAGAACATCTCTTAGTGCATATTCGGGGGAGAGGGGATAATCATAATCATAATGTTGCTCAGGAGAGGCAGCGGCAGGAACGGGTAATGCAGGCGAATCTGAAGATTTTTGTCGGAAGGGATTTGGCAGGAAACGGCGTTCGAGAGACTGCTTTGTCATGGAATGGCTGGATGAGGGGCAAAAGCGTGGACTCGTTGCTCCTGTATGTGTGGTATTGGATGGCTTCTGAGAGCGTCAGGGGGGCCCAAAGTTTCTACAGTGTCTTAAGACGTGGTGGTCCTTCTCGTCGTAGGCGGTCATTCGCCCCCAATCCGCGAGTGCTCCCAACAAAGGCAGGCCGCTCAGCGAAGAGGGGGAACTCGGGAGACAGCCTGGCGAGAAGCCCACAGCCGGTTGAGGAGCTCACCAAGCCTGGAACTGGGGCCGCCATGCACCCCCAGTTGCGCCGAGGAAGGGAGGAGAGGCTCCCCGGGTGCGCGTCGTCGTCCTCCTCCTTGTCCTTCCTTCCTCCTCCCCCCCCTGCTTCCACAACTCCGCCCGCCAGACGTCTCGGGGGGCGCGTTCTGGCCAGCATCTCTGGGCGGGCCCGGCCGCGGTGACGCGGGCGCCCCACCGGGGCCCCGCGGAGTGTTCTCTCTCGCGGCCGCCCCCGGGTGCCCCGCGAAGCCCTCGGCGGAGCCTGCCCCGGGTCCGGCATGAGCAAGGACATAAGCAGAACAACTCGGAGGTCCGCGCGGGTTTCTCGGATCGGCGCTGGACCCCCCTCCCTGGCGCGCATCGCCAGGGGAGCTCCAGCGCCGATCCGAGCAGCCCGCGCGGACCTCCGAGCTTTCCGTTTGTGTCCTCGTTCGTGCCCCCGGCCCAAGGTGCCCCCCAGCTTGTCGCTGCACTCTTTGGGCCCGGCTGGGGCCCCCTGGGCCTCGTGAGGTGTTCTCTGGAGGCCGGGGGGCCTCCCTGGAGATCCTGGGGGCACCTTGGGCCAGGGGCACGTCTGGCAACACCCGGCTGACGCTGCCCCTCACGGCGCAGGCCTCAGCTCGAAGAGCTCCACGCGGCTCTCTTGGATCGGCGCAGGGCCGCCCTGGCGGCGCCTCCGGCGCCGATCCTGGCGCGCTCCGCCCGCCAGGCGGGGGGGGAAGGGGGGGAAGGGGGGGAAGGGGGGGTCGAGCGCCGATCCAAGATCGTGACGATCGAAATGGGTACGGAACTGGCGGGTGCGACCCCAATAGTAGTTCCTGCTCATGTTACACAGGACTCGCTGTCCGCGCCGCCGCGGACGCTGCTCTCCGAAGACAAAACAAAAACGCCTGCCGAGCAGCGGCCGCGGTCGGTCTGGGACAACGGCTGTGGCTGGGCATCGTATAAACCCACTGCCTTCGTACCCCCCTTCGGGCGCCCAGGCGAGACACCTGCGCGGAGCTCCGAGAGTTCATGCCGAGGAGGAGGAGGGCGCAGCACGCCCATCGAGGAGCAGGAGGAGGAGGAGGAGGAGGAGGCGGAGGAGGAGGAGGAAGAGGAGGAGGAGGAGGAGGCGGAGGAGGAGGAGGAGGAGGAGGAGGAGAAGGAGGAGGAAGAGGAGGAGGAGGGGGAGGACGAGGAGGAGCACGCCCATCGACGGGCGGCAGCGGGAGCCAGGGCCCTTCTTGGAGCGGGGATAGGGCGGTGTTGGCCCGGCGGGCCGGCGTCCGCCCCGCCATTGCCGCGCAGGTCCCGGACGAGGACGCCGACGAGGCGGCGCGGCAGCGGAAGAAGGTGCAGGCCGAGGCCAAGCAGAAGATGGAGGAGGACCTCCCTCTTGGGGCAGCGCCAGGGGGGGAGACTCGGGGGTGGACAGAGCCCCCAACAGTGACACGTCGATTAGTGAATTGTCCGTTCTCGGTTCTCGAGAGAGCGCCGTGGCCGCTATTTTCCAGGCTTGCGCCCGCCAGGTTTGGGCCTCGGGTCGTTTTCACTAAACCACGTTTTGCTAAAGGGAGGTCTGTCCATCCCCGAGAGACGGGTTCAGGCCCAGGCTCCGGGGGGGGGGGAGGCCAAGCAGAAGATGGAGGAGGACCTCCCTCTTGGGGCAGCGCCAGGGGGGGGAGGCGGGTTCAGGCCCAGGCTCCGGGGGGGGGAGGCAGGGAGGCTCGGGGGGCGGGGGGCGCGAGAGCTGCTCGGGCAGCTCCTCGGCAGTTCTCGAGGCCCGGGGGTGTCTCCATCAGCTGCGCCTCGCCGAGGGCGCTCCTTGGGTGCCAGAATCGTCCCAAACGGCGGCCAGGGAGCCGAGGTATGATCCGAAAACCAAGGGGCCGTGTTCATCTGGAGTTAGGTCCGTAGGGGGATGCATCGGCCCCCAATTGCCCATCGATCGCCGGCGGGAGCCTGATGGTCCACCCCGCCTGGGAGCGCGCGGATTCGCACTCGAGGGCCTACCGCGCCAATGTATTGGCGATGTGTCGCCGATTCAAGCTCGATGTGTCCCCCCCCTGAGACCCTCCCCCCCCGCCCATTCCCCCCCTCACTCGGGGCTGGCGTCGTCCGAGCCCTTGGCACACTTTGCAAGTGGCAGGGCCTTCTTCTCGGGCCACCGAAGCACGCTGGCGAGCCGTCGTCGCCTGTGTGCAGGCGCGGAAGGCCCGCCGCTCCATTCTGTTGGGATCGGTCTTTATTGTCCTTCCCAGACGCCCTGTCGTTGTGAGGTACGATCACGACAGGAGGTTTCTCCGTACTCTCGGCCTCTTGGGGCCCGTGCTCTGGGGCCGTGAAAAGAAAGGCTCCGGATAAGAAGCCGGTGCCGGGGAACATTGGCTCCACGTTAGAGTGATCTCGCGCTCGAGTGGGAGTGCCATGCCATTCGGTGCGGGCTCGCAGACACTCCCGGCACTGGACTGCACGCTTGGATTTGCCTCCCCCCCCCCGCCGGCCCCCTAAAGCCGCGCACCTAAGGCCCTTCTTGCCCAGCGTTACTCGTGCGTGTAGCCGGCAGGAGGTCCAGGCCTCAGGGCTCCAGAGGTCCGCGTTGCGAACAAAGGCACGGCGTCGGAGCTTCTGGGTTCGCCCTCGGTGGCTTGCGATTCCGTCTGCTCCCGGCTGGAGTGTTCCATCGCCGGCCCATGGAAGACGGGATTGACGCAGCGAGGGAAGCGTCGACCCCAAATCGCCGATTGATCGCCGACAGGGGCCCGATAGCCTTAGGTCGGGCATGTCCTCCCACAGGGAGATTTTGGACGAAGAAGAAAGGGTAGTCGAACAATATGCCCAAATGGTCACAAATAGTCCAAAGATCGTCCCCTGAGTATTTTTTTTTGCGATTTTTGATTGTTCTTCCTGCAGAGGGACGGGCCCGACTTAACGATAGCCCATCCCGCTCAGCAGTGTGTGGTCTCCTTGTCGGGGGCCCATCGCCGACCTATCAGCGGTGCGGCGCCGATGCCGCCTCGACGCTTCCTCCCCCGAGCCGGTCGTTCCTTAATGTTCATGCTGGGCCTGCCCCTCTGCAGGAGGAATATTCAAAAAGAGCCCAGAAATAGTCAGGGGACGATTGTTTTTTTTTTTTTTTACCATTTGGGGGTATTTTTTGAGTTTTTTTTCGTTTCGTCCAAGACCTCCCTGTGGGAGGACATGCCCGACCTAGCCCCCATGTTGCCCCTCCGGTCTGCGCTGTCGCAGTGACGTCGCGGAGAGAGTTCGAGGGGAGAGCAGGCAGCTGCCAGGGCGTGGCCTGGAAGTCGCCAGGGCCCCTGCAGAGGCCTCCCAGGGTGACATCGAGCAGGAGGGGCGCAGCGTGGGCCCCTCGCCCCGTCTGGTGCTCCATCCCAGCAAGCCGAAAGTCCGGGGACCTCTGAAGGCCCCCCCAGTCCCAGGCCCGACATCGAGCAGGAGGATGCCTGCATGCAGAGGCTTCCCAGGGTGACATCGAGCAGGAGGGTGCGGGTTTCCTTGTCGGGGGCCCATCGCCTGATGTGCCGCCGCTTCGAGCGCGGTGTTTCCCCCCTCTTTTGCGCCGGTGCTGCCCGAAACGTTGCCCAGCATGGGTTGCACGCGGTAACGGGGCTGCAGCTATCCCAGATCCTTCCGGGTCATGGAAAAAGCACGACGGGAGTTTTTTATGTTCGGCTTTTGGGGCCCCTACAGGACCTCGGGGCCGTCAAAACATGACTCGGGATGAAAATTTGGTCATGGGAAATGGGGCGAGACCTTCGGGTCGACGCCATGAACAAATCATGACGTTGGGGGTCTGGAATTACAGTTGACTGGCGTGGTGAAGTTTGGAGTGCGGTCACATTGGGTCTGGACGTCTTGACGCCATTCGCCTTTATCACGAACAGTATCTATTGACGGCTTCGGAGTGCTCTTCTCGGGATAGGACTTGCGGCACAGCTGCCCCGATGTGTGGGTGTTGATTGTGTGACCCCCGTTACGTTTAGACATTTAGGATTCACTAGCAGCGCACCCTTTGAATCTAATCATGCGGATCTGTGGCATGTCCACAGCTTGATCGTAGCGCACATTTCGCGCAGCGCAATCGGGCAGCAGAAGACAGGCCGCACGTTGCGCATCAGAATGAGAGCGCTCCCCGCCGGCGGCCCTCGACCGCACGGGCCGGCTGGAGGAAGACGGTCGGCGGTCGGGACCTCCTTCACACAGCGGTGGTCCGCGCCCAGCCGCCCTTCCCTCCGTCCTCTAGGGTGAAGGAAATCCCTGACCTTAATAACGTGGTGGGGGAGTGGCCTCGCTTTGGTCCCCGTAGTTGCATTAGGGGTACTGCTTCTGGGCGGCTTGGTCTGGTACAGCTGCAGAAAAACACAAACCTCTCTATCCCGAATGTTCCTGGCCCTCCCAACTCTGGTCCCCCTCCCAAAAGGGCCCGTTTTTTGTTATTTCGGGGTTGGACTGCACGCCGACTAGTGAATTGACCGTTTGCGGCGCGGCCGTCATTTCCCGGGCTTGCGCCCGCCAGGCTTGGGCCCGCCAGGCTTGGGCCCGAGGTCGTTTTCCACGAAACCGCGTCTTGCCACAGGGGGTGGTGTCCATCCCCGCCTGGTGCGAATCACGTCGCGCGCCGCGGGCAGCTCGGTGCCGCGCAGCTGCCGCCAGGAGTTCAACCGGATCCGGGAGGAGGAGAAGGCGAGGAAGGCGGCGGAGGAGCTCCGGGTGCGGGAGGAGGAGGAGAAGGCGGCGCAGGCCGCCCCTCCGCTCTCTCTCTTGGCGACGAGCGGCCGCGCGCAGATGGGTGACGGGTGAACTTTCCACTGCCGCTACCATCTGTAGGACGGGGGAGAAGGGAGGATGAAGAGGTCCTCCTCCTCCTCCTCCTCCTCCTCCTCCTCCTCCTCCTCCTCCTCCTCCTCCTCCACCTCCCCCCCCCTCTCCTACCTGTGGTAGGGGTGGTGGAGAATTGGCCCAGCAAGGGGGGGCAGGGGAGAGGGAGAGGCTTCTTGGAAGCACCCCTGCTTCCCAGAAGGCGCGGGGCCTTCTCTTTAGATGCAGGGCCGGCGCCGTCTCAGAAGCAGGCTCTTTCTGAGTAGCCTTCCCCCCTCCCCCCATACAACGCCCCTGGTGCGCGCCGCAGAGACGAGGCTCCTCCGTGCCCACTGCCGCTGGCCAGGCCCGCCCTGGCCCCTGGGGCATACGGCACGTGCCCCGTATACCCCGCGCCTTGGCTCGCCCCCATCCTCGCCCCTGAGATCTTCGCGGGCCTCCACGGGCGGTGGATGTGGATACAGTCTGGCCCCCGGGGGCCAACACACGTCCATAGTTGCAGCCCGCCAGGAAACCAGGACGGCAGTTCCCAGGCGGTGGGTGACAACGATCACGATGACGATAGCAACGATGACAACGATCACGGCAAAGTCCTCGGCGAGCCTTTCCGTTCATCCCGTTTCACGTATTCTCGTTGAGTACAGCAGGAAGAAAAAGCATCGGTTGTTGTTCTCGTTGTTAGCGATGTTATCGTTGTCGCCGTGATCGTTGTGACCGATCCCCGCATCTCCAGAGGTGCGCGGGCGACCTGTGGGGGCCTCCAGCGGAGGCAGCGGTGTTGTGGGGGGGGGGCGGGGCAGGCGCAGGGGGGGGAACGCATCGACCCCCAAACTCTCCCACGGATCGCCCCAAGGGGCCAGACAGCTCAGCCCTCCCAGGACCACTTTTTGGGACGCCCCACCGTGGCCTCTCGCCACAAAGCGCTCCGGAAGGAGCTCCTCCTCCTCCTCCTCCTCCTCCTCCTCCCTCCTCCTCCTCCTCCTCCTCCTCCTCCTCCTCCTCCTCCTCCTCCTCCTCCTCCTCGTCCTCCTCACAAAGGCTCCGTGTGGTCGGGGGTGGGCGGATCTCCTTCCCTGACACGTCGATTGGCGAATTGGCCGTTCTCGGTTCGCGAGGGGGCGTCGCGGCCGTCATTTTTGCGGGTCCAGGTCCGTCGGTTTCGGTCTCGGGCCGTTTTCACGAGAGGGAGATTCACCACAGGGAGGTTTGTCCACCGCAGATGTGGCCTCCCGGGGCTGGCGGGCAGTCTTGTCCTGCGCGCAGGTTGCCGCGCAATCGTGCCCAGGAGCGGTGACACGGCCGTGGCCTGCGGCCAGGCCCAGAGATCCAACGCATTGGAAAAGTCAAGACGGAGGGTGTTCGCAATTTTTTGGCCTCTCGTGGCCCCCTGCGGGGTCTCGGGTATCGTCAAGAAACGATTCAGGATGACCAACCGTTTCTCGGGAACAAGGGGTCGAGACTTCCGGGGACCCCGTATGGAAGAAATCACGACATCGGCTCTCTCTGGGGAATCATCATGGCCAGTACCCCGTGGCAGCGGCGGTCTCGCGAGCCTGCCCTGCAGGCAAATCCTCCGAGGTGGGGAGTTACTCATAACCACCGCCTGGGGGAATCGATCCTCGGGACCTCGGCAGGAGGCGGACCTGGATGGATGTGCTTGGGCCCTGGGGGCCACCTAAATCCATAGCCACCTCCTGCCGAGGTCGACGAGGGTCGATCCTCCAGGCCGTGGTTCTGCATAACTTCCCCCCTCCTGAAATCCTTCGGTAGGTCGCTGCATTGCCATGCTCAGAAGCGTTGGCGCGGCCCCGAGTTCCCGTTGTACCGACGGTTGCTGGCGCGACGTTCTCGAACCTGCCGCGGGCAAGCCATGCGCGCAAGTTGCCCGTGGATGCGACCAAACATTTCTCCATCGGAAGCAGACTGGGGCTCTCTCTCTGGGGCCATCTTCGACCCGTCTGGGGTCGTTCTGGACGCGTCGACGGGCCGTGGACCCCCGTGGAGGACTCCCTGCGATGGCGTGCCACGGCCAGCTGCCACGAGCGTGCCTCCGCGGAGCAGGAGGCGGCCACGGGCCAAGGCCAAGAGAGCGACCACCATGCCGCGGGTCGCGCGGGCGATGGTGCAGCCCGGCGGCGGCGGGGAGGACGACGACGACGACGACGACGACGACGACGACGACGACGACGACGGGGCAGCTGTCCAGGCCTCTCAGATTCACCGACCGCGCTCCACGACTCGCAGAGTGAATGCTCGCAGGCGTTCGCACAAAAATCCATGTCCCCCTCGACCCTGCGTGCTTCGAGGGGGCCCACCTGGATCAGGTCGAGGAAGGAGCGGAAGGCGAGGGCGGCAGGTCCAGAAGACTGATGGGGGAGGGTACAGTGAGCGGTTTGAGTAAGGAACCCTTTTCGTTGGGGAGGGGCTCCGGCTTCCTTAATTGTTTCGCAGCTTGCCTTAGGTTTTCCTTAGGTTTTCGACACGAATTCGCAGTGTAACTCATGGAACATGGGGGCCTCGTTCCTGACTTCGGGTTCCTTAGGTCAAGGCCCCGACTGTAGGACCCACCTTTGGCATCCACTCCCGACGCCCCGTTCCCGCAGCAGCCGACGCGGTCAGCCCCGCGGGGAGGGGGGGCGGGCCCGTGGCGGACCCCCCGTGAGCCGCGCCCGCGCGGAGGCGCGCAGGGAGGCCGAGGAGCGCCAGGCCGCCGAGGAGGCCGCGCGGAGGGCGGCCGCCGAGGCGCCGTCGCCGCCGCCGCGGCCTCCGAGCCAAGAGTTGTTATCGGGAGGGGGAGGAAACACACACACACACGCACACACACGCACACACACCCACACACACACGCACACACACGCACACGCACACACTCACACACACACAGACACACACAGACACACACACACATCCGACAAAAGAACACACGACACCACAACAAACACGACACGACACAGACACAACGCTACAACACACACACACAACAACACCACACAACAACAACTGACACCACACAGACGCACACGCACACACCACCCAAAGAACAACACACAGACCACACACACACTAGCACACCACATTGCCCGTTTATTCCTTAGAACACCTGGGGTCATTATGGGAAGTTGGGGGGGGAGCCGAAACCCCCTGATTAAAACCCCACAAATATGGGAACAGATGGGGAATGCTTGTTTTTGTGTGTATGTATCTGTGTGTCCCAGGGCCCCTTCGAGGTAGCGGGCGGAGAACGGTACAAAAGAAACTGTTTCGCCGTCGGGGACGCCTGTCCCAGAGCGGCTGGCAGGTCAGGGTACAAATGTTCCAGCCGCCCTGGGACAGGCGCTCCCGGTGGCGGAGAAGCGCCCCCCCAATCAGTGCTTGCACTGAAGGGGTCCTAGCGGATCTTGAAAGATTTGGCGAAAGTCCCAGGCCGATTTCGGTAGCCGGCCGGGGTCCTGGTTTCCCGGTTCTGGGTTGCTGGTTCTGGGCCGATTTCGGTGGGCGGCGGGGTTCAGGTTCCCGGGTTCCCAGGTCCCTGGTCGAATTTTTTTATCGATCGGTCTCACCATACCATCGATCTCTTTACCCACTTCTCTATCAATCTCATTATCGATCTCGCTATCGATCTCACCATCGATTTCACTATCGGTCTCACAATCGGTCTCATTATAGATCGCCCGAGTGATCGCACGGTCGATCTCCCTGACGATCTTCCTGAATCGACTTCACTAGCGGTCTCACGATCGACCTTACGATCGCTCTCACTGTCGATCCCACCATCGGTCTCCCAATCGATTTCAATATCCGTATCAGGTATCAGTATTGAACTAATTAATTTTCTCAGCATCACAAACCCTATTAACTTTACTGGGAAACAGTATTTAGGGCCTCGTCGAAACTTCGGCGCCTGCCAAATCTCCAAACCATCCACTGATTTGGGCTTCTCTCTGGTGTAATCACATCAAAGAAACCTCATAGGTATCGTCATCGTTATCGTCATCACCATCGTCCTCGTCATCGACACCATCATCATAACCATTTTCATCACCCTCATCACAGTCATCATCTCATCAGCAGCAGTAACATAAGCACTATCATGTCATCATCAACAGCATCGTCATTTCATATCATATCATCATCATCAGCAGCATCATCACCATCACCGTGATCTCCAAAACGAGTGACTTGACGACTCCAGAGATTTCGCCCGACAGGTGGCAACACCTACACACGACCAATGGTGTGCAAGTTCTTGAGCAGACAACTGCACACAACAGGCTGTGGTCATTCTGTGATTCGACAGCAACTTGACGACCAAGCCAGCTTTCGACACAGCTGGGGCCACGCGCGACCACCTCTCCATTTTCAACATATTGAGGGAGTGGGCAGCTTAAGTACACCAGATTGATACAGTCGAGCGCGACACTTTGAGGGCGGCTGCGCTTCATCAACATGCCCCCCCCTCAACGGTCAGAAGGCCGTGGCCCGCCCCGACGCCACCAGCAACCCGTCCAACCTGTGTCGCGGCACAAAGTAGGGAGACCCCCTGAGCCCATGTCTGTGCGCTCCTCCAGCGCGCTTCTCGAGGACACTTCGCTGCCTCGATACGAACGTTCCGAAACGCAACACGTTCCGTGCTCAACACGTCCGTGTCAACACGTTGCGTGTTGGTTCGACGTGAATTCCTTCTTTGGTTAATTCAAGCTTCGCGCGGCCCGCTTCGCTTCGACCGGAAGAGGTGCGCTCTCGACACGCGAATCGAAGCAGTTGGCTCGACGTGCCGGCCCACGTCTCGGCGAACACGTCGCTCCCCAGACTCGCGCGTTCAGCCTCCGTGCAGAGCCCCGTGTCGGCACGCCACGGGCTGCGCGTCGTGCACCGGGGCGGCTGACCGCTCACAACCTGTGTCGCGGCAGGAAGCAGGGAGTCACCACCCACCAAACCACCTCAACCCAACCCGAAGGCCCAAATTTATCCTCAATTTCCAGTGGGGGGGGTCGGGGAACGTTGAAAAAACACATGGTATCCGTACCCCCCCCAACCCGAAATTCGGGTCAAATTCGGGTCTTCGGGTTGGGTTGGGGTGGTCTGGTAGGTGGTCAGGGAGGCCCCTCGGAGCCCAGGTCTGTCCATCGCGCTCCTCCCGGCGCGCCTCCCGAGGTGCCACTGGCCTGCATCGGCGCGAGCTCTCGGAGCTCTGCGCGGCTCGCCGGGGTCGGCGGTGGGCGCCGCCCGCTCGGCGGCGCCCCCCATGGCGCGCTCCCGCGCGCCAGGGAGGCGGTCCAGCAGAAAGAGGACGAAGAGGAGGAGGAGGAGGAGGAGGAACAGGAGGAGGAAGATAAAGGAGGAGGAGGAGGAGGAGCAGGCACAGGAGGAGGAGGAGGAACAGGAGGAAGAGGAAGAGGAGGAGGATGAAGAGGACGACATGTGCTGCTGTCCCTTCTGGCTCATATCATTTTTCTTCGCCCGAGGAATCCGTCCGTTCCATGCCGCGGGTTCGTTTGAGCCCGGCGCGGATGTGGTTTGCAAGCTGAGGTCAATCACCGTGGACCTTTCTCACGCGGACAGGGGGCAAGGAGCAGCAGGAGGAGGAATAGGAGGAAGAGGAGAATGGGATGGAGGAGGAGAAGGAGGAGCTGGAGCAGGGCCAGCACGAGCGGGAGGAGGAGGAGCTGCAGGCGGATGGGGAATGGGGAAGGAGGAGAAGGCGTCTTCCTCTCCCCCTGGCAGGCGCCCGCCAACCCCCCTTCACCCCCTATCCCTCCTCCGTCCGCTCCGGGCAGGCCGTCGAGCGCCGCGTCGCCGAGGAGCGCAAGGCCACCGCCGAGGCGGAGGCGAGGGAGGCCGCGCTCCCAGCGCCCCCCCCCCCAGCCTAGGATCTCCCTCCCGCCCCCGCCCCCGCCTCCTCCTCCTCCTGCTCCTCCTGCTCCTGCTCCTCCTCCTCCTGCTCCTCCTCCTGCTCCTGCTCCTCCTGCTCCTCCTGCTCCTCCTGCTCCTCCTCCTCCTCCTCCTCCTCCTCCTCCTCCTCCTCCTCCTCCTCCTCCTCCTCCTCTTTCTCCCCCCCTTCCCTTCGCCCGAGGCTTCGCCGCGCGGCCCCTCGGCTGCGAGAGCGGGGGGCCGCGCGGCCCCGCCGTCGGCGCAGGCGGGCGCGCCACGGGGGCGCGAGGCCCCGCCTGCGCTGCCGGCCAGGCCTCGCGCGAGCGAGGAGCGCCAGCCTCGCTCGCGCGGGGGCGCCGGGCCCCCCGCCAGGAACGCGAGCCCGCGGGGAGCGGGCCACTGCACCAGCTCCCCCTCCTGCTCCTCCTACTCCTCTCCTCCTCCTCCCCTCCTCTCCTCCTCCTCCTCCTCCTCCTCCTCCTCCTCCTCCTCCTCCTCCTCCTCCTCCCCCTCCTGCTCCCTCCTCCTTCGCCGCCCCCTGCTCTGCTTCGCGGGCAGCCCAGGATGCCGCGAGTCTGGGCGCCGCCGTCGCCGGCTTCTCGGTGCAGCTCTTCCTCCGCCTGGCTCGTGCTCCGAGTGCGCGGTGGGGCCTGATTTCCCCCCCCCCCAAAGGGGTGGTCAGGCATCGCGCGCGCCTTTCGGCCACGCTCCTCCTCCTCCTCCTCCCGCTCCTCCTGCTCCGCCCTGGGCGGAGGGAGGGTCTCAGGGTGCCGATCTGACCAGCGAGATTGCTCACGGTCTGGTCAATAATGTGTCCGATTTTCCTTAGGATCCTGGCCGAGCTAGCAGTGACCCCCTCGCAGCTCGTCAACACTGCTTATCACGGTCCGGCATGGCCTGATGATCTCGCTCACCGCCGTACGTCTAAATCTCTCCCCCCTGTGGCGCTGTGCCTCCACCGCCGAGGTCCCCAGACATTCGACGTCCGCCTCTTGTTTGCCAAATCCCCCCATTGGTGTTCTTGTTCGTTTCCGGCAGCTGCGGATGTGTTTGGCCCCTGGGGCCGGGTCCTTCGACGCAGAGGCTGCCGAGGGGGAGCGGTCGGGGCCTCGGACCCGCGGGCTGCAAGGCGAGATGGTTTCGGACTCCCGCGATGGACTGTCTGCTTGTCGGCGGAGAGAAGAAAAAGGGCGAGAGGGAGACAGAGAGGGAGAGGAAAGGAGAGATAACGAGAGAGAGCGAACGCGAAACGGAGGGGAGAACGAGAGAGAGAGACAGAGGAGCCAGTCGCCCTTTCCCATCATACTTCCCTTACTCCTCCTCCTCCTCCTCCTCCTCCTCATCCTCATCCTCCTGCTCCTCCTCCTCCTCCTCCTCCTCCGTCCTTCTCCTCCTCGTTCTTTCTCCTGTCCCGATTCGTTCGCGACGCCCCCAGCAGGGGTGTGGGTCGTCCCCTTCCTCTTCTCATAAAACTTCGTTGTGAGGCGCAGGGCGGAGCGCAGAGGAACGCCCAGACGCGTGAGAACATTTGGGCACAACCATCCACGCGTTGGCGGCAGAAGGACAGCTGTTTAGGAGAGAATACGGCGGCCGTTCTCCGGGGTCCGCCCCTTCCTCCCCATCCTCTGCTTCTTCTTCGCATCAATGAGCGCGGCGAGGGGTTAGGCCGCAGCGGCTGCGGGCAGCGCCCGACGAGACGCAGGCGCCGAGCGCCGAGCTGGCGGCGCCGCTGGCTCCCGCGCTGAGTGCCCGCGGCCGCGGGCGCTCGGGCGCGGCGGCCCCCGAGGGGGCGACCTGCGACCGCGGGAGTGTCTCTCTCACTTTCTCTCTTTCTCTCTCTCTCTCTCTCTCTCTCTCTCTCTTCGCATCAATGAATGTGGTGCCGTGCTTCGGGGTCCTCCGATCTTTGTTCAGCATGTATGGCGCAATCCCGTCGGTTGCGTCTCGTGTTTGTTCGCTGGAGCTTTATTCAATGCGAAGCTCGTCCGGTTGTACAGCATCGACGCTTTCGACATATACACCTTGGGCAAACCCAGCGATTGCATCTCGTCCGATGTGGAAGATGACGCGTTGACCACCGAAGCTGAGACTGAAGAAGTTGCCGTGCCCCAGGTGACCCAGGCGTGTGCCAGTTTGTTTTCGATTTTCCGGGATGACATAAAATGCGGATTCAGGCCGGCAAGGTGACCACGTTCGGGAGTTCGTTCAATTTGGCCCGTTATTAGGTAAGGTGGTTGGTCAGGGCACCATCAGTACGGTTAGTTTAGGAACGGACCTGGCTACTGGCCAAAGGAGATCGTCCAGGAGGGCGCACTGGAAACGCAGGGCCAGGTTTGAGAACACGCATCAGACACAGAAGGTTCTTAGAAAGTGTGGGCAGTGTCTCTCCCACCCGAAGTGACACACTAGCACGATTTGCGATGCAGGTGTCGCTCTCGCTGCCACCTTTGGGTCTGTCGTGTCGGCATGACCGGCAGCGAGCTCTCGCAGGCCAGACGCGCGTTGTCAGCGTGTAGGCCAGCCTCCGCAGCACGAGGTCTGTCGTCTCACGGCCAGGCTCGCTTTTGCAGGAGGCCGTGTCGCCCGAGCCCGCGTTGCCACGGCCCCCCTAGGGGGCGCGTTATTTGGATCGCCTCTAAAAAAAACAACAACAAATTTTAACACCGTGCTAAACAAATAACACTAAGTTATGGTCTGTTAATAGCTCTATTATGTGAATGTACTTCTTGTTTTGTGTTAAGATCATAGTGTCGCACAAGAACTTTGATGAGCTTTGTCAGATGTGGGCGGGTGTGCTGTTTGACGAGAAACGGTTCTTGGAAGAGCTCAGGTGGTCCCAGCCAGAGAATGCATTTGTGTCTGCACCGTGTTGGCTGGCGTGCGACTTCCGCCTTCATTTGGCAGGATGATTATGGACGTGACGTCCACTTAGGCTGCAGCTCCACCAGTATGATTGGGCACCTTCGTTGCCTCGCCACGCAACGAAGTTTCGAGCGCAATATGGCGGAGAGCTCTGTGAATTTCCCTTGAGAGCGTGTCACCCTCGACCCCCTTCAGCGAATCTTTGGACCCAGGGCCAACGGTTTGACTCCGAGGGGAACTACAGGGTATCTCAACCTTCTGTGGGGGTTCTTGGACGCGCCTTCGTGCGAGGGGCGCTGGGTACCTTAGTGACGGCACGTCTCCCTTGTGCGGCGAGCCCGATAGCAGTAAGCATCGAGACTGGCTTTGTCAGCATGCTGACACATGTGTCAGCATGCTGACACATGTGTTGCGCGTAGTGAAGCAGCAAGCGACCTGTCGGACCTCTTGCAGGAGGCCATCTCTAGCAGGGGCCGATTTTTGTTGGAGGGTGCGAATTCAAGTGCGAGCATCATCAAGTGAATGACCATTCCTCCCCTCTGAGTGCCCATAGCCCCACTTTGTGCAATACCCAGTTGGAAGCCACCGGTTGGTAAACTATTTGCCCTACGGGTTGTGATATTTGAATGGGTGGATCTTGTTTGCGCCATGAGGCGAGGTGCGCCAATGTAGCCGTGCCTCGTATTCTTCGACGGTTCTCGGACCTGAAGATGGTTGCCTGCGCCATAGGAGCGGCACTGGATATGCTGCCTCAGTCTCCGCTGGCGGCTGTGCACTGAGCGATGGCCTGCTCGCCCATTTTTGTCAAGTTGTCTGGCAAGCGGACCTCGGATCTTGTTTGGCGGTGGTCAAGCTTTGTCAGACCAGCCAGTCGCACCAGACTGCCCGCAAGCACACATCTGATGGCACTGGGAGAGGTACGAGCCTGCGTGAAAAGCGTGACTGTGACGTTGCTGTACAACACGCCCCAGCTCACACGTCCCGCGAAGTCATTCATAACTTCCCCGTTGAGGAGAGGAGGATTGCTATCGGTAATTTGATGGCAGAGCCCCTTGCCGAGAATGCCCTCTCCCTCCGCTTCCAGTCTTCCCCCCTCGCGCGTGACAGCCTTGAGATCAGGACTGTCAAGCTGGAATCCGCGGCCAGGATCCCGGCAACAGTTTTGCGCATGTCTGCCCCTAGAGATTCGGCAGGGCCCCCCACTGGACCCAAATGCCGTTTTCTTAAATCTGGGGGCTGGCACCACTGGGAATATCCGGAGGAAGGTAGAGGTAGGTGTCCGAAACGCTCTGATATTTGGAAAGACCTCGAGGCTATGCCTGAGATCGAATGTGTTGGGGCGAGCAAGACTTGGCGAGGTGTTCCTGACTGTCGTAAGGGTCACACCCTGGCCCACACGCGTGTCACCAAGCTTGGAGCCGAGCCGACTGTAATTTGCACTGCTTGCGGGGCTGACACACCGCGCAGTTGTTTTCTCTGTGGCGAGGACTGCCCGTTGCGAGAGATTCCGGGTGCCCAGACGACCTTTCCTCGCATGGCGTCCCAGAAGGGGCCTTGCCTTCGAGGATCGTAGGAGCTGTCATCTCTTCCGCGGCGGAAGACCGGCGGAAGGCGGCGGAAGTAGAAGATACGCCCCCGAGAGATGGAAACGTGGTTGGGTTCAGGGTGTCCGGAATCCGCCACCTGCTGCACGCTGGGCTGCACCTCCGCTGCCGCGAGGCGTGTGCCCTCGTGAGGCACTACAGCCCCCGGCCTGTGTGCAGCGTGTTGCCACTCGTCCGCCGCCTCCCGAGGCCGGCCAAGCCCCAGGTGGGCCCGCGGCCTTGCCCCAGATGGGATGCCTGCCATGCACGCAGGCGTTCCTGCAGTCAACCCGCCAAGCGAGGCTGGGCAGCCTTCCCAAGGGTACCCTTCCAGGCTTGCAGCCTTCCCAAGGGTGCCCTCGTGCAGTCAGAGGGGGGGAGAGGGGCCCAGATCCGCTGCCCTCCGCCCGCGTTCCCCTCTCTGGGCCTCCTCGGAGGCCCTCGTCACCACCGCTGGATTCGCCTCGAACTCTTGGTCAGAACGCATCCCAGAAGAGGTCCGGGGAGGAGCGGTATGGATACCTTTTGGTGTCCCCATGCCTCCTTGCCCTTTCGGCCCATCATTGGCGACTTGCGCTGACCAGCCTCGCTCGAGAAACGTTCGCGTGGGCCTACAGGGCCCCTGCATCCTTTCCGTGGATCCCTACGATACGGGTTCACTGTGACACGTGCTCGGGAGCGGAGGGCGACAGCCTAGGCGGCCAAGGCCGCTGCCCACCTCGGCGAAATTGCTAGCGTCGTCGTCGGAAGGAAGCATGGAAGGACGGAAGGAATGAACCTCTTTCTTCTCCCCATCCAATTGCGAGGGGCGGGGCGGACCGCACTGGAGTGCCAGGGCTCTGTGAACACCCTCAGATGCGCCACGAGGAGGACGAGGAGAACGCCGATGTGGGGGCGAAGGGCTACCATGGAAGTCGTATGTTTCTGGTTCCCAGAGGGTGCTCCAGAAGTTTGTGCCACCAGCGCTTCAGACGTTGATCAGGAGGGAAAGAAACACACAGACACAATTAATCGTCGTCCCCCAGGAAAATATTGGAAACTAGGCGAAGTGGGGGGAAGACAAAATCCTTGAATCGATGGGAAATTTGGGAAATCCGGGGGGTTGTGTATTTATTTGTGTGTCCCTGGGCCTCTGCAGTTGTCTTGTCTTGGCGCACGAGTGGTGTTCCCAAAGTGCAAGCGTCGACGCTCCTGTGCGCTCGTCCCTGTCCTCCGCAACGGGCCGCGGAGGAGAAACAACAGAGGTGGACGAGGAAAGGGGGGCGAAAGAGAACGAAGATCAGTGGTGGACACCGAAAGAGCATGTTTTGTTGACTGTCTGGGGGTGTGCTTGTAGAACGCCTCGGTCGCCTGGAAGGCTCGTGTATGGTTTACTGCTTGCTCC